CTCTTCTTCAGGACATACTCAAGGCCTGGCTACTTCCCAGACCTCTACCACCACCCAACTCCCAGTCCTATCCTCTTCCACATGGATGAGAATGTGACCTCCTGACTGGTCTCCTGCTCCTGCCCTGCCCCCCACAGCCACAGAGACTTCCCACAGTGCTTCTCCCCATTTTACTTGGGACTCTCCCCACCTCACCATTGCAGAGTAACCACCCAGAGGCCTTTTGATAGAGGCTTAAGTCTACTGAGTAGGGCTCCTGGTCAATGGAAAGTAAACACAGTGAGAGTAGCACTTGCAGATCTTAATAGTTTGGATTCTGGCTAGAACTCCCAAACACTAACCAAGGATGAACTAGGAATTAAAGGAATACGTCCGTCAGAAGTGCAGGTCCTGTGCCCCCTGCAGGAATGACTCTGCCATGCCCCATCCTCTCCCTGCTAATGAGGCCCCAGCCTCATTAGGCATTGGCCACCTTCCTGGTCCTCAATTGCCAGCACATTTCCACCCGAGACTTCTGTCTGATGCTTCTCCCAATCCTGTGTGTTTCATACTGCAAACCATCCTGACTTCTTCCAGAAAGCCATGGCTGGGTTGTTTATGTGTTGCTGTGTTCCAGAGTATTCCTCATGTAACATGCTGTACCATTTACTTATGTTTTCTTTCCCATTACCACATTAGTACCACAAAGGAAAGGACTCTACTGCATTTAGCACAGCCTGACACAAGCGTAGTCTGGAGAGGGGAGGGGGAGGTAGAACTTGGAGCCTTGCCCTAAGGGCAGCCACCAGCAGAACTGAGGTCTAGGGTGCTTCTGAGGGAAGACAAGGCCCAGTAAAGGCTGAGAAGCAAAGGTTGGAGGGTGGAAGAGGAGGATAACCAAGGTCTATCATCAAAGAAGGCTCTGTCTCCCTTGTCAAAGGCTCAGGGACAATTCCACAGGGAACTCAGCACCAGAGCATCACTTATAAAGATGATAGGAGGATGTAAATGGGGGCTGCTGACGGTCAGATCTACAGATGTTTGAGGACAGTAGGGAAGAGGGAAGATGAAATGAGATCTGGCTCATGAAAGAAAATTCCTCAATGGCTATCAGGATAACAATCAAAGGCACACTTGCCCTTTGACCCTGACACTCATACTCCCTACTCCTACCCCCCCACCCTTCCTACCCCCCACCCCCCCACCCCCACCCCTGTCTGTCTTCTGTCTTCTCAAAAAGCCTCTCCTGATGGCCTGGAACCCTGAGTGTACCCCTCACAAGCATCTCTCCTGAATCAGAGCCTTCATTTTCACTAGGGGCATGAAGGGATGAACAGCAGGCCTTATTCTGACTTCTCCATGGCTGACTTCCAAGTGAGTATGCTCCAAACAAATCCACCAGGATCAATCCAAGAAGTATCTACCTTACACTCACCACTTTATAAAACTCCAAGAGAAAGCAGAAAAGCAAGAACAAAAGAGACATTGAGACAAGCTGGGTTGAGCTGTAGGGAGAAAAGCACTTCCACCTCATTCTTGTTTGCCCAGAATTCATCTGGAGCATAAATAACCAAAGGAAAAAAATCTTTCATGTATCTTTAGTTCACATCAGAGCTGAAAGACAGAAGAGACCTAATATGCTGTATACCATGAGCAGCTTGCTCTATTTGTGGGTGGCCACCCAAGCAGAGGAGACAGCTTAAGCAACGGTGTAGAGTCAAGACTAAAGGAGACAGCCAGGCCCAATCTTACTATGCAACCGTCCCAAGAACACCAATCAGCCAGGTGAACACAAAATCAGACAAGGCTCAACAGACCTCACCACTTACGAGACTGGGTAGAGAACTAGTGATGGTGACGGGGCACTCCATGACGTTTGTTCTGTGGGATACAGTATGGAGAGGGAGAAATGGGCATGTAACTCACATGTCTTTAGGTGACCTTTCCAAACAAGCTTTGCCCTTGGCATTCTTTAATGGGAAAGCTGGTCCTCCCTACATTTTCTAACACTGATTTAGGAGAAGCCAAACTTCAGTATAAACTGTTAGGAGAAGGTAGGGGCATGAAGGAAAAAAATCCCAGAGCTAAATATAGTGATCACATGTATACCCAAGTCAAACAACTGTAATATTAATGAAGCACGAATGAACCGTAACTGTCTCCAGGGCTGAATGAAGCTGGCCACCTTATCAGGGAGCTTGTGCAAGGGCTTGCTGTTGGCACCCTGGTGGCTAAGAGTAGGACAGACAACTTTCTGCTCCCACTTGTGAGCAGAGGGAACATAAATAGAGCATTTCCTTGTAGGCAACCATGAAAATCTGCTTTCAGTTTAACCTGCAACAGTGTAAGCTTTGACCAGGATACATTATTAATTAGCCAAAAGAGAAGCTCCATTTTTAGTTACCCATTGAATCCAGTACCTTCAAACTACTGTGACCTAGAATTGACAGTACAGCTAACTCTCTGTTCACCTTGGCAGCAGTTCATAGGGAAGCAGAAACAATCCGATGCTCAGCCAGGCATCTGTTACCACATTAGGATAATGGCTTCCATGGACCAAGTGAGGATCTGGTACTTGCCAGGATCCTCAGGTATAAATCACACATTTCTACTTCATCAAGCCCAGGGGTTCGATCAACCACCACCAGTGCCTGGCAGGCAATAGAACCCTCTCCACTGTGTCAGGAAAGGGGTGTGGGGAGAACAGGGGCCATCACCCCATGCCAACCCCAAAAGCAGCTCCCCTACTGAGCAAGTGACTTGTGTTAGCGGCAGGGAAGGTACAGCGGGCAGCAAGCTCCTGGGGAGAGGGAGAAAGGAGTCCTAGGCCGCTAGCAGCTGGAGAGCTGGCCCAGCAGGAGACAAGGAGAGAGTTGGCTGTACTGGCATGCCAAGCACCACCACCCCCAGCAAGCTGCCCAGCGTTTCTAGGAAGGAGAAAAGCAAACCGCTGTCCCACCTCGGGCTGCGCGGTCACAAGTGAGGCAGGGCTGGGACCAGTCGCCATTTGGGCGGGAAGCCAGCCCCAGGTGCGGCAGGAAGGGGTGGCGCTGGCTCAGTGGCTGCAGCTCCTCACTCTGACCCAGCGGGGGCCCTGTGCGGTGCTGGGGGCACAGCGAGGCCTCCGGTGCTGTTGGGCAGGGACACACACACACATACACACAGAGAGAGACACACCATTAGAGGAAGCGCAGCAGCCCAGCAGGGGTATGGGCTGAGACCACCCAAGGTCCCACCTTGCCCCTGCAGACCCCAGTGCTTTGAAGCCTTGGGTATGCAGCTTGGCTCAAGGCCTGAGGGAACGAGGAAACTCCATCAGATATCACAGCCTTTACCTCAGTAGCTGGAGGCCCCAGGCTTGGTATAAGGAGCCCAGAGCAACAACCAGCCTCCTGCACCCTTAGCCTCACCCCTCTACCTAGAACATTCCACCAACGGTGTATGACCGGTGGTACTGTTTCAGCAACTTGTGTTAAATCTCTGACCTCTTGAGAAAAATGGCTGTGAGAGATTTGGAAAGAGAAGAACCACACTCCTGGGTCATACACCACAGCAACCACGGCAGTGAATGACAGAGGAAGCAGGGGGGGTGGGGGGCGGGGGGGCGGGGGAATAGACCCCAACACACTCCAAAAGTCATCTTTCTGGGCATAGCAGAATGATCCGTGAGAGGAATAAGACAACAAGCGATCTTCATTTTGCTGGTATGACTTAACTCTATGGGAGCCTTCTGGAGACTATCAATCACTTCCACATGGTGTCACAAAGGCTGTGACCATTGCTTAAAGAGAGTTCAACTGAGAGCAAGTGACAATGACTAGAAACAGACCAGGAAATACTAATCTGCTCTAAGCTTGGTAATAATTTAGAATTCCTAGAGGCAGGAAATCTGATTCTGGTATGCAAATCTCTCAATTGACACATTGCTCAAAATGCTAGTGTGGTAGGCAGCACAAAGTCAAATTGAAACCTAGAAAAGCAGCAAATGGTGGCATGTGGTCTGGTGACAGAACCACAGATTAAGCAGGGTTAACAAGGGTTTGTCAAACTACAAACAACTTCCTTTAGAAGGGCCTGCTGTTAGGCTGACAGTGCCACGAACTCTAAAAGGTACAGAATCTGCATAATCTAGAAGACACAACTTCTGCGTTCTGCATTCCCTACCTCCATCCTTGCCCCCAGGACACAAAGGCCACTGGGACACCTTTCTCTCAGAGGGTTGGGTCCACAGGCAGTCATCCAACAATGTGAAGGTGCAAAAAGGCCCAGTTCCTGGGACCACTTTCAGTAACCAGCCAGGAAGCTAGGAATTGAATGTGGCTCAGCGATCAGCTTCTGTCAGGTCTGAACTCCATCTCCCAGAAACCTCTTCTGAATGTAATGTAGGGCAAAGACTCTGACATACAAAACCAGAATAGGCTAGCCTCACCCAGTGCAGACCCAGACGTGCACCCAAATCCCTGAGCAATCTGCGTGCCCAGAAAAGGAGGCCTTTGTCTCTGGCCACCTGAAGAGGTTTCTTTGAGTTTGCCTCTTTAAGTGAAATCCAATGTCCTCCCTCTGGGAGGCTAAAATAGAGTAATACACTGAGCCATTCGAGACCCACAGCTCAGCCAGGAACAAAACACTTCATATAAAGTTAAAGAATAAGTTTATCAAAAAGAGCATTCTTTTCCTCCTGGCTACCAAATATTCAGCTTCTCTTTGGGCAGCAGGACAAACCCTTTGCTGGCACAGCTTCCTGAACAAAAAAGCTGCTTCGTTGCTCATCGTCTCTACAGAACCCAGGAAGCTATGCAAGCTGCTCTGTCAGAGGCACAGAAGCCCATGGAACAGACAAGGGACCAAAAGCCCCTTTGTGGTCATAACTCAATCAGGACTGTCTGAGCCGCCTAAAGCTGAGAACAGCAGACAGCCAGGCCCGGTGCTGGACATGATTTCCTCAGTCCTAAGGCACCCCACACCACCTGCTCAGTACTGCCACCTCTACACAGTGCCCATTCAGCACTTCCATTACTCACAGCCATGGTAGGAAGCCGGTGATCCTCCAGCCTTGCCATATTCCTGCTCCGAGTAGCTGGTGGAGAGGTTGGGTTGGCTGGAGCCTCGGTTAAAGGAGATCTGGTTGCTGCCCATGCCAGTGGCCACCTGGGCCATGCGCTCTTTGGTTTTGAGAGCCTGGGCCCTCTCAGCCTTCAGTCGCTCCTCGTCCTTGAGGAGTGCCACCAGCTGCTTTGACTTCTCCCGCACGTTGATGCCCTGGTCTTTGCCATCACGGTCAATGTACTGGAAGTCCTTCAGGGTCTGGATGGCAAAGATGTTCTCCCGGCACTGCTGGGCTACCCGCTCAGAACCCGTCTTAATGAGGTAGTCCAGCAGTGTCAGGGCCTTGTACACATGCCGCCAGTTCTTGCCATGGTCATTAAGCCGCTTCCATACCATGCTCATGATCTCTGAGAAGGCCACTACATTGTAAGTCAAGTCAGCGATCTCGGTCATCAGAGAGCTGGATGGGCCCCATGGGTCATTGGAAGTGGCTTCTCGGACTTTGATTTCTGCCTCTGAGTAATTGTTCACAATGTTTTTCATCTGCCGCCTGATAGATGAAGTGGTCATTTTTATGTTCTTTGTTGTAAATTTAAAGTCCTTCAAAGAGAGAAACTTTCCTATCCTTGGTAAGTCTGTACCCTATGAAGGTCCAGTTTTCCGTTATCCAGCTGGAGTAAGAGCAAGAGCCCTGAACAGTCATTTCCTCCTCTGGAGCCCCAGACCTGAGAAGTTGGAAGCCATGACCTACAGGGAGAACAAACACAAACCATGTTGTGGCATGAATGCCTGTGAAGCAGAACAGCCTGGCCCAGACACTTCCACAAGGGCCACTGCTGAGCATGATTGCACAGACTGCCAAGCGGACACACCCCAACCACTCAGAGTGCAAGACAGCCCATCTGCCTTCAAAACTGTAAACAGCCACACCAGTTACACATGAATGAAATTTAAACCTTTAAAGGCAAAAAAATAAACTATGACTGTTCCCGGGCGCCAGTGGCTCACGCCTGTAATCCTAGCTACTCAGGAGGCTGAGATCTGAGGATCACGGTTCAAAGCCAGCCCAGGCAGGAAAGTCCATGAAACTCTTATCTCCAATAAACCATCAGAAAACTGGAAGTGGTGCTGTGGCTCAAGTGGCAGAGCGCTAGCCTTGAGCTGAAGAGGTGAGGGACAGTTCCCAGGCCCAGAGTTCAAGCCCCATGACTGACCAAAAAAAAACGACACAAAAAAAACAGAACTAGGGCTGGGAAGTTGGCTCAGTGGTAGAGTGCTCGCCTCTCATGCATGAGGCCCTGGGTTTGATTCCTCAGCACCACATAAGCAGAAAAAAAGCCGGAAGTGGCACTGTGGCGCAAGTGGTAGGGCGCTAGCCTTGAGCTGAAGAGACAGCATCCAGGCCCAGAGTTCAGCCTCCACGACTGATCAAAAAACAAAAACAAAACTATGACTCTAGTGCAATTTCACAACAGAATTAACTATCTTGTGGGTTGTACGGTTACTGCAAGCCAAAATCCAGCTGTAAAATAATCAGGGTGGGGAGGGAGGGGGAATTGATCCTGATAAGTCAATTTTATTCTAGCTTTTAGTGCTGAAGAGTGAACCCTAGGCTTAAGCATGCACTCCACCACTGAGTTCCATTCTCAGCATAATCCTCATCATCTTAAAATCACATATGGGAACAAGAATGCCTCTCATTTCAAGGCTACCTTAGAAACCAAAGTGTTGTCTGTATCTTTGAAGTTGCTGCACTTTGGCTTTGGTTCACCATGCTTTTAACTGCCAGGAGAGTTCTCTTTAAAGGCCACTTCTCTCCTGACTACTCAAGAATTTATGAAGGCTCTGACTGCTCTTCTAGAACCTCCCTCAAGTGACCATCTCACAGTCTTAAAACAGTTCATGCAGCACACCAGTGGCTCATACCTATAACTAGGTAATCAGGAGGCTAAAATCAGGATCTTGGTTCAAAGCTAGCCCCAGCAAGAAAAGAAAGCTGTGAGACTCTCATCTCTAATTAAGCACCAAAATAGCTCGATGTTGAGCTGTGGCTCAAATGGTAGAGTGCTAGCCTAGCCTGAGCAAAAAACTTTAGGAACAGTGTCCAGACCCTGAGTCCAAGCCCCAGGACTAGCCCCTCTTTCTCCCCCCAAAAAACGAAAAAAGCAGCTCGGGTTCCAGCCTAACTCCCTCATGCCACAAAAGAAGACTGAGCCCTAAAGCTACAGTGACTGACCCTCAACATGTCTCCCCACTCTTCTTCCTGAGAAATACTTACAGAACTAGAGTAAAGTCCACATCTCCGGTATGGGGCTCTGGTCCTCGAGCCTGATAAGCCCCATCGATTTCATTCACAGTGAGTACCCAGCAACAAGCACTGTATGTATACTGTTGAATAAATGATGTGACAGATTAGAAAGTGCCCTTGTCCTCAAGAAGATCACAGTCAAATAGAGGAAGTGAAGTCCTGTACAAAATTAGGAACCTGAGACCCAGGGAATTGTCAGGTAAAACAGTACAGGAGGAAAATCAAGGGGTTCCACTCACCACTGCCACCTGCTTGGCTATTCAGAGTCCCCGAGGCCAGGCTATGACTCATTGACCATGTGATAAACCTTCTGGGTAAGGACTGTTCTTGCCATTATACAGAGGAGGAGAGCCTGAGGCCTAGAGTCAAGAGGCTGGATCCTCCAGCCAGCACATTGCCCCTGGCGCAGCTGAGGGTCTGTCAGCACCCCTCCTCTTGTGGCCCTTCCACTTTACCTAGATCTATGCTGTTCGTGCCACAGAAACAACAGACAGCCTCAGCTTCCTCACCTAAGGCTCAGGTGGCCAAGGGTACATCAAAAATAAAATCTCTAAAAGAGGACCTGGGGAACAAAATCATCACTCATCACATACAGCTACACAAGTAAGAAAAGCACTGCTTAAAAAACTTCAGCTGCCTTCTCTCCATCCCTAGACACCGAACCAACCCTGGCTGAAGGCAGGCATGTTCCACCTCTCTACCCATCTGGCCTGCTCTCAGGAATCCCCTAAAGCCTGCCAAAGGACAGGTATAAAACCTTATGTGTGTTGACTGCATGAGTAATTTAATTAGGCTTTACACTCTAATCCAGCTCTTTTCTGCTTGAGACTCCCCAGTCTCACAAAGGAAAAAAGAACATTTTCAATGAGGGTTTCCCAGCTCAACCCACAGAGATGTGTCAATATCAGAAGTAATGCTCAGGTACATTTCAGGGCATTATGATGTGTCAGGGACCCCAGAACTTCCATGTGTCACTGCCTTTGGTACAAAGCAGGTATGCCTGCTCCACTTCTGGGTTGGGAAGTGGGCAGTGCTGGGTCTCCCTGGAAGATGTCCCTCGGCACCTCCCTCCAATCTTCAATTAAACACAAGAACAAATGGTGGCCTCCAGTGGGCCCTGTAGGGGCTTCACTGTCTCTCTAGTACTCCACCCCATCTTCTCCTGTGAGATGATGTTGGCCACCTTGTGGGTAGAGGAAGCAGAAGACATCCAGCAGGGCCTAGCATCCTGGCTGAGGGGGTTACTAAAGAGGCAGTAAGCTGGGCACCAGTGGCTCACACCTGTAATCTTAGCTACTCAGGAGGCTGAGATCTGAGATCTGAGGACTGCAGGAAGATATATGAGCCACTTGCTGTGGCTCAAGTAGTACAGTGCTCTCCTTGAACTAAAGACCTCAGGGACAGTGCCCAGGCCCAGAGTTCAAGCCTCATGACCAAAACAAACAAACAAAAGAGGCAGTAAGACCCTTCCAGGGCCCCTATTGATCCTCCAAGTACTATGGCAAAGAAAAGGCTTGGGGAGTCCTGTGAGCTAGGGCCAGGATATCCCTACCTCCCGGGCACTGGAGTGCCTCTGGGCACTGGAAACACCAAATGCCTGGATCAAGGAAGGCCAGGGCCTTTGATCAACAGGCCCAACTTGCTCAGATCTCTGCTGAAGGGCTCAGAAATACCCAGACTTTGAGAAGGAGGAAAAAGTTAATGAATTATTTCTTACAGTCAGCAAAACAAAGCTATGTAATTTACATAGTTGCCTATTTTCTTAGGCTCATAGACAAGAGAGGCTTTTAGGATAGGTGATAAGAAGAGAGACATCTATGGGCTGGGAAGGTGGCTCAGTGGTAGAGCTCTTGGCTTGCATGCATGAGTCCCTGGGTTCGATTCCCCAGCACCACATAAGAAAAAAGCCGGAAGTGGCGCTGTGGCTCAAGTGGTAGAGCGCTAGCCTTGAACTGAAGAGCTGAGGGACAGCGCCCAGGCCCAGAGTTCAGGCCCCACAACCGGACTCAGAAAAAAAAAAGAGAGAGAGAGACATCTGGAGATAAGAAACCACACTAGGGCTGAGAATGTAGCTTAGTGTTGGAGTGCCAGCCTAGTATGCATAAAGCCCTGAGTTTGATTCCTCAGCACTACATAAACAGAAAAGGCCAGAAGTAGCACTGTGGCTCAAGTGGTAGAGTGCTAGCCTTGAGCACAGAGAGGCTCAGGGACAGAGCCCAGGCCCTAAGTTCAAGCCCCAGGAGTGGGGGGAAGGGGGGAACCCACACTAGTTGAAAAGACCCCAGAGCCAGCACAACATATGCTGCAAAATGAAACTTCAATTCCAGCTCTAAAAGTGATATAAGCCAGGCATAGGAGCAGCAGAGCCAGCAGACCAGAGCTAGCAGCTCAGAACACTTCCATGGCTTTGCCCAAGTGAGCTGTGTATACCTTAAGCCCTTCTAACTTCTCCCCCTACTTCAGGACTGAGCTATAAACGCAAACAGCTGCTTGGAGGCAAGGAACTTCCAAGACTGCCTCCACACATCAGCTCCAAACCTGGATCCCACCACAAGGACACATCCTGTTATTTCCAGAACTGACTTTCATTTTGTTCTCACCTTCTTCCCAATAGTTTGTATGCTCTCCTCATTTTACAACTTTCCTTCTGAAATTTCTAGCCTGCTGAAACATTTGTCTCTTTCTAGACCTCATACCTCCCATCTGAGGTATGATCAGGTCATAAAAATCAGCCATCCGGACCCCAGCATAGATATGGGTAAGATGTGGGGCAGGTAGGCAATGGCAAACCAAGAGGAAAAAGTCCATTTTGTTAAAGGTTTAGGAGAGGGACAGGGAAAAGAGTAGAAGGAAAGGAATAAAAGGAGGACAGGGGAATTAAGGTTGGAAGGGAAGGAAGGAGGGACTTATTTTATAAATTACATACCAACAACTGAGACAAATGCCACTACATAAGTTTGAATAATTCAGTTGCAACTGTGAATGTTTTTTAATGACTTTTAAGTTGAGGAAAACAAATCCTCTCTGCCTGCCAAGGGGGCTGCACTGGCCTATAGAGACAAAGATACCCAACTCCACCACCCCCACCACCCTTCCCTAGGCCCACTCAGCTCTAAATAGCCTGTTTGGAAATGAAATTAATAATTCCTTTTATTAAGAATCAAAGTTCCTAATGCATGTGACATAATCCCTATTAACCCAATAAGTGGACAAAATTCTAGCTAACAGCAAACAAACAACCTACCAGTGACTTAGGGAAATCACAAGATGGGCAATACAGAACTGGTCAAGCTGAAGTTGGAGTGGGATTGGAGATGGAGCTTGGTGGTAGAACACAGGAAGAAGCAAGGAGCCAAGTAGGGGAGGGCATAAGACAACCACATTATTTGAACCTTTGGGTCCCACCTCTACACCTTGCCGTGCACCTCCTGGACTTCTCCAAATTCATGTGTGCCCTACACCAAGGTATGCTATTGTCACCTGTGATGGTAAGTTCAATGCAAGGAACACTTAAGAGGATGTGAGGGGGAAAGCCAGGTGTGTGTTTCAGGTCCCAAACAGAGTCTCTCCCATAAGGTCTCAACAGAAGTGTGGAGAGACTGCTTGGCTCCCAGCTACACCTGACCCACAGCCTCAGAATGCCAGACTGACTGAGGAAGATCTACATCGTCCCTCCCCAGGAACACAGCACCCTCAAGCAGTCTGAGAGAGCCTACTGTGATGCGAGAACAACATATAAGGGCAACAATACAACAGCCTGCCGGGGCATGGTGGGGGTGGGGGTGAGGGTTCTGGCCTACTTGAAAAGGCAGTCAGAATTCAAGTGACAGTGGAATGGAAAGGGAAGGAATTAAACAAACAGGAAACAAAATAACTGGAAAAAAAATTTCAAGGCCAGGGTGATGCCCCTGGAGACAAGAATAATTCCCTAGGAATGTGCTCCGAGGTCTAGCGGAGCTAAGCAGGGAAATTCCTTCTAAATATCTCACTGGTCAGAAGAGACAGAAATGGAGAAAGAGAGGCTTTTCACAGCTCTGAGCAGCCCAGGTTAGATTCCTGCCATGCGTGTGACTCTGTCCTGTGCCCTTGCAAGAGAAAGCAGGCTGGTAATGGAGATAAACCTCTTCCAGTTGGGGTCGCCACCAAATCCCTAAGGAGTGGCTTCTCAGCTGTCACTATCAAGGATGGCAACCTACCTGTCCCTCAACCACCCCTCCCCAAACCTGTCACAGGTCACCTAACAGTGAGTGCAGCAATCCCATCCCAGTCAGTGCATATTATGAGCTGACTGACTGAACATCCTCACCCCAGATGGCAGCTCCAACAACAAGAGTCTGGCAGCTTCCTGTGACTTCACACATACTTCATCTTTCTAAAAGCAGATGACAGAGCGAGCTCAGGAAAGGGGCTACGCCCACTTTCCCCCCAGTGTTACACTAGTGTGGTCCAAACACCTCATTTATCAGAAGCTCCTGGGAGTGCATCTGAAAACCCAGAAACAAAATAACCAGAGTAGAGGCCAGGGAAACTGTGTTCTTCACAAGCTCCCCCAGTGACTTTCAGGCATGCTGAAGTGAGAGTCAAGGCATGGAGCCGGACACCAGGAACCTGAGCCGGGTAGACGCCCTGTGGTCCTCACTAGCTGGCTCTTTCCCATCTGCGCCTGTCCACTAGACAGAAACACCTCCATCTTCCTCTGGGGAAAGGGAGGGATGATCACTACAAGGAGGCCCAGTCAGGGATTGTGAGGCCGCAGCTCACATGACTGAGCTGAGCAGGCCCTCCAGAGGACAACGGCCCAGTCAGGACAATATGGACAGTGCCACATTCTTTTCAACAGTGATCATTTCAGCCTACAGAGAAAGGACTATTATGGCTCTGCCTCAGCGACGCCAGCATTAACCTTAGAGCCTAGTAACTCAGGCAGTGGGAGACATGAGATGGGGACAAAGCTCATTATTCCTCTCACACAGGAAAAAGTGGGAGATCCAGCCAGAAAGAAACATCCTCTTCTCTAGCTGAACCTGGCCATCTCCATTCCAATGATTTCTTGCCAAATTTTATACACTACAAAAAGCAG